GGCTGGGTGCAATGGCTCAACTTGCCCAAGTCTCACATGGTCTCACTATGTTGTGGGTGCCCAGTACTTGGGTGGCTAAAGTGGAAGGATCACTTGAGGCCAGGAGTTTGATAACCAGTCTGGGCAACAATAGCAAGACCCCTTCTCCACACACACAAAATTAGCCAGGTGTGGTGGGGCGCCAGCTACTTGGGAGGCAAAGATGGGAGGATCGCCTGAGCCCTTAAGTTTGAGGCTATGGTGAACTATGGTGGTACCACTGCCCTCCAGCCTGGGAGACAGAGTGAGAACCTGTCTCTAAAAATACATAAATAATAAGTAAGTGAAGTTAATAAATATTTTAGTAAAACTCAACATTAATGTACTTAATACCATTGTATTGTGCACTTAAGGATGAGAAAGATAGCAAATTTTATGTATATTTTACCAGTTTAAAAAAAATTGGAAAAAGTCTTCTCAACACTAACTATGGCAATTAGACCAATTAGAATAATTTCTTACAGGAGAAGTGTCATGTTGTTGACATAGTTTAGGATTGTTGGCCCATGGTAACAATAAAACGCACGTGGAATTTAATCAGCCTTATTATTGTGTTTATATTTTCAGGCAATAGTTTCCCTTATTGCCTGCTCCTGGGACAGACTGTTCCCCTAACTTGAGGACACAAGTGCTGTGAAATACACCAATAGGGCAGCATTTGACAGCTTCACCAGGAGGCAGTCCAGCAATGTGGGCTACCAGGCTCACAGATTTAAATGTTAAAATGAAGTTGGGTGCAGTGGTTCATGTCTGTAATCGCAGAACTTTGAGAGGCTGAGGCAGGAGGATTGCTTGAGCCCAGGAGTTCAAGACCAGTCTAGGCAACATAGTGAGACCTTATTTCTATAAAAAATTTTTTAAAAATTAGCTGGGTGTGGTGGCATGTGCTTGTATTCCCAACTACTCCGGAGACTGAGATGAAAGGATTGCCTGAGGCCAGGTGATCGAGGTTTCAGTGAGCTATGATTGTGGCACTGCACCCCAGCCTGAGCGGCCTCCTAAAAAAGGGGGGTTTTCCAATAACTGTCTTATTGTTCATAAATGAGCTAAGCTAGCTCATAGTTCTGAAGGCTGGAAAGTCCAACATCAAGGGACAGCAGATTTGGTGTCTGGTGAGAGCCATTTCCTTGCTGCAGTCTCTCCTAGTAGAAGGGGCTAGCGGGTTCTTCCAGGTGTCATAAAGCCTTATGCCCGCATGGCCTAATCACCACCCAAGAGCCCCATCTTCTAATACCACCATGGTGGAGTAGAACTTCAGCATGAATTTTGTAAGGATACAAACATTCAGACCACAGCCATAAACATAGCACACTTGCCTCTGGGTTTCTATATTCCTGATGTGTCCTGTTCCAAAACCCTCAGAAGCCAGGACCACTTGAACTGCATTAGAAAACTTTTTTTTCCTGAGTTGGCGTCTCATTCTGTCGCCCAGCCTGGAGTGCAGTGGCACACTCCGGCCACCTTTGACCCGCTGGGCTCCAGCCATCCTTCTGCTTCAGTGGAACTACAGGCACGTGCTACCATGCCCGGCTGATTTTTGATTTTATTGTAGAGACAAGGTCTCGCCAAGTTGCCAGGGTGAGTCTCGAACCTGTGGGCTCAGGCAATCTACTTGCCTCGGCCTCCCGAAGTGCTGGGATTACAGGCTGAGCCACCGAGCCTGGTCCGAAAACTTTCTTAAAAGTAAACTTCTCCTTCTTAAGCTCACCAGGAGTGAAGTGAGTATAGATAACTCCTCTTCAGGCAAACATTATTGATTTTGGTTTCTTTTCATTTAAACACGCTCTGTTCCTTAAACTCACTCAACTATTAAGGAAAGGGCAAAACTGACTACTTAGTTGGTCCTCAGGTCCATTTTGAAAAACTCTTTGGAGTAACACTGCAGTCATGGTCCCAGGCCGTGTTTTAATTTGTGCCCGTCTTCTCAGAGTGGTGGGTGGGGACAGTGTTCCCAGAACACTCCTCTGAACAGAAACAAGACACTAGGATGCTGCAAGGCCATGGCCTCTTATTAATAGGCTTAGTTGAGGTGAAAAACTTTTTTTTTGTTGTTGAGAGAGCAGGATTTATTGAGGACAGAAAAGCTCCCACAGTGGGAGGGAGCCCGAAGGGGTTGCCCGGTGGAAAACATTTGTTCCTACAAAACAGCGTGATGGAGAGGCCTATCTCACCTGAACTATGCTAAGGACAGAGCACGTTGACTTCACTGCCAACCTGCCCAACCTGCACTATGGTTTCACTATGTGATCTTAGGCAAATTACTTGGCCTCCACAAAGCTCAGTCAACTCATCTGTAAAATGAAGATAAAAATAACCACTCTTGGGGCTACTGTGTGAATGTAAAAAGCAGGCAATGTATCTGACACCCAAGAAATAGTCATTCCTAGTCCCTATCTCCTCTTCGTCAAGACCAGCATTTCCAAACATTTCTTTCGCTTAACAAAAAACTGTCTATAAAATCTTCCAGTGCCCTCCTCCCATTAATGCCCTCCCTATTTGAGAACAAGAACTCCCTGCACAGAGTCTCTTGTGTGGGGAAGGTCAAATTCTACGAAGAGGTTCCAGAATATATGGCACGTGTAAAAGGGGGCTCTAGGAACATGAAAATAACATTCAATACACATCACACACATACCTTATAACGTAAAATATATAAACTATAAACTAAGTGCGCTCTCGAGACAAGCAAGAAAGAAAAGGAAGTCTTAGAAAGAGGGGATCAGGGCTAACTTGTTGGAGTCTCTGTGTTCCTTTGTCTGCTACAGATGGGCCTCCAGTGGCTTCAGCAGGCAAGTCCCAGCTAGGCCTCTGGAGAGGGGCTATGCAAAGGATGTGGAATCTTGAACTGACTCTGCCAATCCTTCCAATCAGTTACTCCATCAATACCGTATTAGGATTGAATTTGGGTCTAGTTGTCTTGGTACACATAGTATTAATAGGTATTCAAATACTTGTGAAATGAATGACAATATATAATGGCCTCAAGTGACACTATTACGCATATTGCTGTTTTGGTTACTCAATGAAGATTTTTTTTTTTTTTTTTGAGTTGGAGTCTCACTCTGTCGCCCAGACAGGAGTACAGTGGCTGCTCCCAGCCACCACAGCCTTGACCTACTGGGCTCCGGCAAATCCTTCCACCCAGCCTTCCAAGTAGCTGGAACTACAGCCACGCGCTACCACACTGAGCTTTTTTGATTTATTGTAGAGATGAGGTCTCGCCAAGTTGCCCAGGCAGGTCTCAGACCCGCAGGCTCAGGCAATCCACTCACCTCGCCCTCCCAAAGCGTGGGATTATAGGCTGAGCCACCAAGTTGGCCCAATGAAGATTTTTTAATACAACAATGAATGTCTAATGGGAAAAGAAGGGGCCAATGTGGAGGTGAGGCTCAGCCCAGCTTACCAACAGATAAATGTGGAAGTGTTTGCACACTATAGACATGCAAACTTGCTATTGATCCAGGCACCGGACACTGCTGTGCAGGATCAACAATGCTTTCACACCAACTCAGTGCAAATCGTGGTTTATCTCCAGATAAACTGAGCTATACTACCAAGCCTTGCTCTCTCATCTCTTGAAACTAACTGGGTGAACTTGGTTTTCCTGGCCCTGTGTTCCCCACCCAGCGTTGCTACGCTCACCCATGGCATCCTTAGTGTGGAAATTCTGCCAACTCCACAAGTAAGTCAAACAGATTGTATGAGAGTGAGGTACTCATAGTTTCAATGTTTAACATCTCTCAATGGTTTTCTCCTTAAATGAACTGAGCAGACTCTGTTAATACTTTGGGGGGGGAATCACCTAATTTTAAAAAATTATAGTTCTACTATGGTTTATAGCATTGGGAAAATTCAACTTATTTTAGACATTGTAGTTCAGGAAATGTTTTTTAGGAGGAAAAAAAAATGTGTAAAACCTTCCCGTTGTTTCATGATCCCTCTCCTATACTCATCATCTACTTTTTTTTCTTCTGGTGCTTTCTGCTGTCGCCAGATGCATTGCTTCATCAACTCAACCTCCCAAGCCTTTTGCTTGGTTGTTATCAAATCTTTCACTGCCTCTCCTTAATTGCTTTTGCTATGTTTGACTGTTAAACTCTTTCAACTCCACTACTCTTTAAATTATACAAATAATTATAAAATCAGGCAAATGATTGTGACATCTGAGTGCTTACTGTGTACCAAGCACCATCCTAAGAGCACTACATGTATTACCTCATTTAATCCTCAAAATCTTATCACTGTCGTTTTACAGATGGAGAAACTGAAGCCAAAAAGCTTAAGATCAAAATCAAAGTAGAAACTTGAATTAAACAGCAAAAATACAAGATTTGCTGGCAATAAATAAGATGTCTTTATTATGATTATTTTAATAGTTAAAATTTGCATGTTTCCTAGATAAAGTAGTAACAGGATAAAAAAATTACAAAAAGGCAAGCTTTTTCTTAAATGATTCAGTTGAATTAACTATAAAATTAAAATACCTTCTAAATATTTAATACCTTCTAAAATAACACAAAATATATTCGATATGTAATACAAACTTCGGTAATTTGATTATCCTAAGATGCCATTATTTACAAACTGCGAACTAAGAGGAAAAAATGTAGCTAAACAAAGAAATAAGAAAACAATAATGTTCTCAAGTAATTTTATCCTAAGTAATCTGTACTCTGGAGTAAAAATACTCATTTAATACAATAAGTTAATTATTTCACAAGGAATAATCTTTATCTTAAAAAAGTTAATTATGTCAACTTTTAGTTACATTTTGTTGGTATGAATTTAGCTCAACCTAAATTTCTGTGTGCCTGGAAAACACAACTTTTAAAATGCTACTAAGAATGTGTAACACAGTATAATATTTAAGACTGACACTCCAACCTGCTTACCTTTAAGTACAAAATACCTTTTTGTTGCTGTTGTTGAATGGAATTTATTCTCATTAACAATGTAAAGCATTTTCCTTTCTAAATTGTATAATTTTATTCAATTATCTATAACAATATCATATACTAGTAAGCAAAGCAAGCAACATTACTTTTTTTAAATAACATCTTTAATTAAAGTTTTTGCAAAGGTAAAATATTAAACTTAAAATAGGTCTTAGTACATCAAAATACTAAGTTCTCTAATTGTATTCCAAGATGGTCTTTAAAACATAATATTCCGTATATCACAGAAGAGCAACTTTGATCTGCAATTGTACAGAATGAATTTTACAAACATAATAAATATATTTACGCCCTTACACATAACAGTATGTACAACAGCAGTTGACAATAGTAGCTCAAAACAGCAAAGAGGATTAGCCCCTCCCCTAAAATTATAGCCCTGATGCATACTGGACTGATTTAAGGAACCTTGACTGCAAGAGTAGTTACTAACTCAATGTAGTTCTTCCCTTAAAAGAGAAGAGAATAAGTTTCTTTTGTTCCTCAAAATAAACAAAAATATCAGTTTGGTGTGTATTTCCTTAAACCATAGAAAATGACAAAAGACAGAGTAAGGCAGGCTTAAAAAGGGACAAATATAAACTTCAGAATAATTTCCACAGTATAACAGAGGATTAAATGCAAAACTATTTAACATAAACCCATGAGGAAATATATAAAAACAACTATTTTTTAACCAATGAATTCAAAATCTGCTATAACTGATTCAGACAAGTAGGTGGGAGAAACACATATGAAATAAAATGAAAATGTACAAAGATGGATCAATAAAATTTTACATTGCACAAAAGCTCAAAAAAGTTCAAGATGAACTCATCTGAAAATATGGGAATTTTCTCAAGTGGAAGAAAATGCTAAGCTATAAAGGTAACTCCCAAGAGGCAATTATGTATGTTTTCTTATACAAGGCATATTTACCCTCTGATAATAATGGTGACATTATTGCTATGAGATAATCAAATATTATCCTAGAGACAACTCTTTTCATTCTTCCATAAAAGCCAGAAAAAAAAAGGAAACCAAACCTTTGATTTTCACGATAATAAAAGAAAATCTTTATACAAAAGCTATTATATTTTATGTTCTTGTTCTCTAAAACCAGAATATTGTGCTCATTAAGAACACATTTTAACCACTACACACACTGCTCAAATTTTAATGTATCCTTAGGAGAGTTACATCAGCGTCGCTTTGATTTTAAGAGGCAACAGTGTAAATGTGACATTATGATAACATTTAATTAACAGAAGGAAATGTGAACATTTAAAAAATATAAAAGCCCAATATAAAGATCCCCCTCATGTAACAGACATTTTACTCTAGAAATCAATTGCACATTAAAGAGTTGTTTTAGCCATATGTGGCACTCCATAGAAATTAAATGTGCTCTCTTGAGTGATCTGATTAACCAAATGACCACCAAGCAAGAGTGTGTATACTGAAAGGCACACATTTCCACACTTTATCTTGTAATTTTGTGTAGATTTTCTTCAGCACTGTTAATTAATGTTACATCTTTCAAAAGTAAAAGGTGCCATCTCCATTTGTGCAAATTTAAAAAAATTCTCTCTAGAAACCATTACTTATTTTCACAATACCAAGTCTGAACTATTTTCCACCTTTGTTTCATGCTACTTTCACTTTAAAATTCTGAAAGTGGGAATCCCTTGCCTTTTCAAAGGAATGACATTTTAATGGAAGCTAATATAAAATGATTTGTTAAATAAAAATGTTAAAAGCATGATTAAGAATTCAAGTACAATAAAAGATAAGCAAGTGACATTCTTATAGCAAAAGCTACTATAATAAAACTAAAACATGCTATTTGATTAAAAGGAAACACGATGCAATAATATATAAGAGCACAATTTGGTATGCAATGTTGTTTGGACCGGCTTTCAAAATTTTCACAGGTAAAAGAAAAGCATTTGCCAAGTATACCATCATTAATATGCAATACACAGGTGCAAATACAAATGGTTATTTCCTGCTTCAAAATAACAAAATAACCACTCTGAAAAGCAGTGGTTGTTCTGAAAAGCAAAGTTATAAAAACAGGCCAGTATACAATGCTACTACGAATATGAACGTTCTCTACTTGGAGGGCCCAAGAATATCATACAGTAATCCCAGTTTCAGTAGCATAAAAACTACTAGATAGCCAAAGGGTTTCCTTAAGTAACACTGCAGCACTGCTACATTTTTATAGGTAGTTCAGGTCGTTGACTTCTTCATTGAGTAAATATAAACCTAGCAACTATCCTGAAGGACAACTGAGCAACAGGACCTCCATGATGTCATTCTCTTCCTTTTCTTCTTCTCCCAGTCTTACTAATAAAAAAAAAACAAAAAAAAATACCCAAAACAAAAACAAAAAACTCTGTGTGCTTTGAGAACAGTGGGGTAAACAAATAAACTTCCCCTCAAAAAACTATTAATATAGTCAAAATAAAAACCGTATTACCAATTATGGCATAATCTAAATAAAATCTAGCTACTAGCATGCAAGACACCACCACTTACATCAAAGTTCAGAACATAAGATAGAAACCAAGTTAAGAAATAGGCAAAAAAAAAGAAAAGAAAATTGATTAGCATTTTTGAAAAATTTAAAGATTGGTGTTAAAAAAGAAAGAAATACTATATAATAGCTCACAGTTTTCTTCTTTGTAAAGTACTTTAAAGTGTTTATGTGTTACTTCTGGAAATACGCAAAAGCAAATAAAAGGAAGACAAAAAAATTAAAATTAAAAAAAATACAAGTAATTTAAACACATGTAAATTTTGTCAAGATAAACCATGGAAAGTTGAATTAGTTGTCAGAACACAAAGGTGAAGATGAGCATTCCTACAGTTCTCCCAGGCAGCTAATTCACACTGAACACAGCAGCGCCATATTGTTCTTGAGAGTCCCTTACAGAATACAGAGCTATGCACTTTTAATATACACTTCTATTATTTTAATATACAAGTCAAATTTCTATGCTTTCTTCCCGATGTGCAAACTGGAGCCCATGTCTATATTATCAATGGCCTGGAGGACCACCAAATGAAAGAGAGGTAACTAGGTACTTAGTGGCCCACCCCTTCACCCCCCAAATTTCCCCCTCAAGTTACAAAGTTGCTTTTAAAAATTTGTTCAATTAGAATAATAGATTTTTAAAAAATTCTTTACTTGTAAACACAACGAACTTTTGTAATTACTAAGTTTACTAAAAATCCAGGTCCTCACCACCTGCCTTATGTTTAAATCAATGTACAGGGTATTCTTTTTGTGTTTAGCTTGAAGACTAAACACATATATAAGCACAGACTTCAACCCAACAGGAAAAATCTACATACACTTACGTATATACAATTTCAGCTAGATGGTACTTTTGTGAAATAAAGCTGTATTCCTGAGGAGCCAATCTGGGGTTTCCTTTTAAGGTGTGGGGCTAAAAGAAACAAATATTGCTTTTCTGTAAGGAAATTAAAGTTGTCATTTTAATTCCACTCAACTCAGAAAAGACCCAAGTCTTTAATTATATTTAATTAAGTATGAAAACCTCAATAAAATAAATATTCATTCCTGGGTCAAATTTTGTCTACAAACTATGGCCACTGATTACTTCCTCTAAATCTTAAATAGATGTTTCATAAAGCAAGAAAGGAAGAGGTATATATTACTGAAGGAAATTAGCAAGTAAAAATATGTAAGACCTTTTATGAGAGTTTTAAACTGTTTTCTTATACAATGAACTAAAATTCAACACCATAATTCTTACCCTTTTGTAAAAAGCTCACACGCAAATTTTACCAAATATAACCACATACAATAAGCAGTTTCAGTTCAATCTATCAAAAGGGAAGTTTCTTCAGTTCATTCTAACACATATCTTCTGACTGAACCCAAGTTGGAGGAGGGAACATAGACAAAGCTTTACATGCTAATTACTGGTGGCAGGTACCTGTATTTAAAATCGACAGTTACGGTTTTCCTACACAAAACCCCAACCCCCCACCCCAACGACCCCAGGTGCTACAGTTCCATGGCTTGCCAGCGAGAAGTAGTGTCTATGTTGTCAAGGTCTATCTTTGTTCCAGTAGCTTTGCTTCTACTGCACTTTTCTGACATGCAGAAATGAAGTTTTGGTTGTCGTATGTCCCAAGTTTCAAACTGTCCACTTTAAATTTTTTAAAAGTTTCTTTGTTTTGTTTATAAAACAAGCAGCTCTTCACCATTCTGCATCTCCAATGGCTTTGGAAAATATATAATCTCTTCCATTAAGATTCATAATGCCATCCTTGAGGTGAAATTTCCATTTGTTTTTACTTCTGTGTATCTAAATATAAAGACATTTTTTAAATGAAGAGATTCAATCAGGTAACTGAGAAAACAACAAAAACCCCATTCACACCAAAAAAACCCCACAAAACTTATATAGTATTGTATTTGCAAACTGGTTTTCTCAATTAAGTTTAATTTGACCAAAAAAAGAAAAAAATACACTAACCATATGAATTTTTTAAACAAGTGAATTTATTTGTAACTGGTATTTCACAACTTTTAGTATCTGTGTTCATTAAAATAATTAAAAACATTTCTTTGTTAAATATCTGTACCAGATTCACATATATATTTTCAAGGTCCACTTCAAAAATACTGTATCCAGTTTGGGCTCAGTGGCTCACACCTGTAATTTCAGCACTTTGGGAGACGAGGCAAAAGAATTGCTCAAGCCCGGGAATTTGAAACCAGCCTGGGCAACAGAGTGAGACCCTGTCTCTACCAAAAAAAAAAAAAACGGCTGGTGTAGTGATGTGCTTGTAGTACCAGCTACACGGAGGCTAAGGTGGAAGGATCACCTGAGCCCAGGAAGTGAAGGCTACAGTGAACTGTGATCCTGCCACTGCCCTCCAGCCTGGGAGACAGCGAGACACTTGACTCAAAAAATAATAATACTGCATCTTCCACAAAGTTTTCCATAATTTCACCAGGTAAAACTATTATTTCCACTGCTAAATTCCCAATGGTAGTCCCAATGACATTATGACATTAATGATTTGCATTATTTATAAGTAACACAATTAATTAATAGACTCAGTTCTTATCTATTTTTTTGAGTTGGAGTCCCAGTCCACTGTCCAGGCTGGAGTGCAGTGGCACACTCACAGCCACCCCACCATCGACCTGCTGGGTTCAGGCAATCCTTCTGCCTCAGTCTTCCAAGTAGCTGGAACTAGAGGTGCATGCTGCCATGCCTGGTTAATTATTTTAAAAATTTATTGTAGAAACGAGGTCTCACCAAGTTGTCTGGGCGGTAGACTTGATTCTTCTACCAAAACAAAGCTCCTTGCGGTCGTCCCAAGATGTAACAGAATAGCAGTATGCATAGCAGTATTTAAAATATACAGCTTAGAGCCGGGCTCGGTGGCTCAGCCTGTAATACCGTGCCTTTGGGAGGTTGAGGTGAGTGGATTGCCTGAGCCTGAGGGTTCGAGACCCGCCTGGGCAACTTGGCGAGACCTCATCTCTACAATAAAATAAAAAATTAGCCGAGTGTGGTAGCGCACACCTATAGTTTCAGCTACTCGGAAGGCTAAGGCGGAAGGATCGCCGGAGCCCAGCAGATCGAGGCTGTGGTGGCTGTGAGCATGCCACTGCACTTCAGCCTGGACACAGAGTGAGGCTCCAACTCAAAAAAAAAAACAAACAGCTTATAGTATGCATAGCAGTATTTAAAATATACAGCTAAAGCTGGGTGTGGTGGCTCATACCTATAATCCCAGTACTTTGGGAGGCCTAGGTAAGAGGACTGCCTGAACCCACAGGTTCGAGACCAGCCTGAGCAACTTGGTGGGACCGCATCTCTACCAACATCAAAAAATTAGCTGGTCATGGTGGCACGTGCCTGTGGTCCCAGCTACTTGGAAGGCTGAGGTGGAAGGATCGCCCGAGCCCAGTAGGTCAAGGCTGTGGTGGCTGTGAGCATGCCACTGCACTTCAGCCTGGACACAGAGTGAGGCTCTGACTCAAAAAACAAAAAAAAAACCAAAAAAACAAACAAACAAAAAAAATATATATGTATATGTATATATATATATATGTATATGTATATATATATATATATATATATATATATATATAT